AAATCCAAACCTTATAATACCAAATCCCAAAACTTGGGCTTGTTGCATCTTTAAATAGTTTTTAAATTAAAAAACTCTTTATTTATTCAAGCTCTAACTGTTTTCAACTTGATCAATTTATTTTTGGTCCAATTCTAATTTCGTCCGGACAAAATTGGAATTCTAATTTTGACCAGGTAAATTTAGAATTTGACCAGATTTCAATTTTGACCGTAACATATATATATATAGGCTGATAGAAAACTCCACATGCTTTCAGAATAATTAATTAGTTTTCAAAAAAATGTTTTTTTTATAGTGATAATATACTAAAAATAAGGAGTATAACTATTTTTTTTTCAGCCGTATATATAGATGAATATTCTAAGCTTTTTCTGGTATCCAACTTCATTAGCTTAGCAATGATTTGATCCACGTCTCAATAGAATCGAACAAAAACAAATTATATAATTTTAATTATTTGTTGTATAGATGTTAAGAGTTGTAGATAACACTATCGTTCATATATAAAACTACATACATGATTTAAATCATGAAAATCATCTTAATTCAGTTTAGATCACTAAATCATAAATCCCTTTGGTTCTTAGGTTTTGCCTCTTCTTCTGGTCTAGAAATGTCCATTATTTTGTTGACCCTTCCCTTGCCCCTCTGCCTGAACGTTCCGAATGGATGACTCCTTATTGAACAATCTTTTTCTTTTCTTTGGTCACGCAGATCTCTAATCATGATATTGAGCAGAATAAAACACTACAGCCTCTTCACTATATCTTCAATATATCTTGAATATTCAATACAATCCTCACCGTACAGAAGTCGAAAGCTATTTTTCAGAACGAAGTGCCAATCTCAACGCCACTGATCAATAGACGTGCAAAAGTCATTTAAAAAATCAATTTTTAGAGAATCGCTTAAAAACTATCTTTTGTCTCATTTATCTTAAGGAGTGGAGATTTTCTAATGGACCTAAAATTTTATTTTATGATGAGCAAAGATACAAACGGTACATACTGATTTGATTTTTAGAACTGTCTACATGTCTTCTACAATCTTCTTTCTAAGTATCCCCATCTTAAGACTAATTTTTAGTACAAGATCATAAATAGTCGATATTTCTTTATATCTTAATTAAAGCGTTCATCGAAATACAACATTCATCATGTTTTTTTCAATTTATTGAACAAATCAAAACAAAATTTCCTTTATAACGAAGGAAAGTAACGATAAAAATCTTTCTTTTGTATCAGTATGTTGAACAGTAAAAGTTCTTTTATGTTCTTACAATTGTGTCGTGTTTCTTCTCTTGTAAAGTTATTTGTCACAATTCTCAAATCACTGTATTTAATCATTAATTTGGTTAGACATGGTGCAGATGTTTTCGTTTAATTTAAAAATTCTTCAACATTGTTAATATTTCCCCGTCTGACGTTAAAGGTGGTAAGATGAGGATATTTAGCGATTGAACATGATTGACTATCATTAGATAAAAGTGAGTTAATATCGCACGACGATTGTAATATAAGATTTACAACATGAAGTGTCTGCAGTAATGAAAAAGATCGAGAAACCCGAAGAAAGAATTCATGATTGAATGGAAATATATCATGTACCACTAAGATCGTAACAAATTTGAATACAATATCTGGAAATATGTTTCCAACAGCTCGAATCCGATGAAATGCAAAAGGAAGTGAGAAGATAGAACATACAGTTTCATCAATACTGATATAATTTATCATATTAGCCATGTATTTTTCGTGTCCAATATTTGCATCAATTCGTTGAATATCTTGTCTAGGTACAAAACAAAATAAATCAGCAGCTCGATCATAAGTACTAATATAAAAAGTAAATAAATGAAGACGTGGCATATAAAGAAGAATTTCATTCTGAAGATGAAAACAATCGATAAATCTATCTCGGATTTTTATACAAAGATATAAAGTTAATTTTTCCAGATATGNGACTGAACTGTGTAGAAAATTTCATCGCGATTGGACTCTCCTTTCAAAAGTTATCGTGTTAACGGCCGGACGGACACACTGACCGATTCTAGAGTGTACTCACTTTTTGAGTACACAAAAAACAAAAGAACACATTATCATGCAATACAAATGAATACAAAAAATTCACATTTTAATTCGAACTTTTTATTGATGGAATATAGTCATATAATGCGAGAATCAAATATGAGTGAAGAGCGCGCCCATTGTACCGTCGGATCTTGGGAAGAAAAATGTTCATAAGTCGAGTTCTACTCAATCAATTTCGATAATTTTTTTTTTGTTCTACTGGTCTACAGATGATCATACATTTTTAAAAAAATCAAGTTTCCATCTGCTTTTGTTACCGAAAAATCGTGGTAACAATGTCAAAAATTAGCTTCCAATGCCACTTGACGGAAGAAAGTCAATTTTTTTTATTACACTACGATTCTTTTTAAATTGTTTTTTTGCAGCTACAGTTGTAGAACTCGTCGAGAGCTTTCAGCATATGTCTTTAGTTTTAGCTTTAGAAAAAGTTTTGTGAGTGAAAAACTATGACTAATAGACGTTAAGACACTTTTCATTTTTGTGTAGAGCGAGATTGAAATCCTTGACTTTTCGTTTCAAGAAATTTCATTTGAACGAAATTAATTGGATATGAAAGAGAAACGAGGGGAAAATAATTTGATAAGTAAAAGAGGTTTGTTTCATAAACTTTGTCAAAACAAAAATTTACATCAAATTGAAAAAAACTGATGTTCACACAAAATGTAGAGCGAGTTTTTAAATTTTGTCCTTACTTTAACTCAATGAAAGGTGAACCGTTTGCTACAAAAATTTTCTCTTTTTTTCAGTTCAAAGAGTAGAGTATTATACCAAAAAATCAAGCAAAAATCTTTTTCCGTTCGAGAGAAAATTCAGTTTTACTAAGAAATTGTAGAGCGAGATTTTTATGATATAAAGTGTAGAGCGAGATTAAAATCCTTGATTTTTCGTTTCTGGAAATTTCGTTCGAACAAAATTTAATTGGATATCACAGAGAAATAAGGGGACAACAATTTGAGAAATAAAAGAGGTCTGTTTCATAAACTTCGTTACTACAAAAATTTGACACAAAATTTTAAAAAATGACGGTCACGTTGTATGTAGAACGGCTTTTTGGCTGGTTATGTTGTGAATCTTCACCATACCATAGGGAAGTGTAGGGCAAATACTATTTTCATATACAC